TATATATATATATCGTTATTTGGTTCAGTGGGCATCAAATATCGATTCTCTCATATAGGTTGAAAACCCGGTGTGCTTGATTCTGATTCAAAAAGCTTATGCCAAGGGATTCGAACCCTCGATCCAAGAGACTTATGCCAGAGGCTGCACCAACGAGCCACTTTCGCATATATATATATATATAGAGTATGTTTCCGTGTGTGGGGTGGGGTATAAAGTTAAAGTTTTAGAAAACTGTTAATTTTTGTTTTTAGAATTAAAAGTATTATAGGATAGCTTATTAGTGTCTATGCTGATTTTTATTATCATTTTTTTATATCAATTTTTGTTTCCAGTAAATGAAAATGGAAATCTTAATTGTGTGATGGTGTATGAAGAAAAAATGTTCTGGCGGCTATACCTGCAGGCCATATGTCACTCCGGAAGAAGTTAATCCAATATTTCATAACATGTTCCATTGCCTAAGTTCTTATATAAAATTGTGGATGAAAGATTCGAAAGAGACCTAGTCGTTGTGCCAACGATAGGTTAAAATGGATTAAAAAATATTTAAAAAACAAGTTTAATGGCGTTAACATGTCATCATCAAATTTTATCATTTGACACATGTCTCGAGATCATAAACACATATCTGAGAATATTTATTGAATAAAAAATATTTGAATTCTAAATAAAAATCATCTGGAATTCTGATTTAAACGAACTTATCGTCAAAATGACCGGCTCAAAGAGATCAACACAATAACACCAAAATTAGTCTAATTCAATTCAAATCAAGCCCAGATCGAAGTCATTTTTGAAAGCATTTAGTGTCCAATTGGAAGGTCTAATGGATTCCAAATCTGACAAGTTCTTAGTCGAATCGAGTAGTTCAATAATAAGAATCAAACGAGCCCAAAATAATTCAGTTTTGAATCATTAAGATAATCAAAAGTCTACAAAATGCTTTAGGTTCAAGGGAAGCTCACTGGGTCGTCCCAAAGTGTAGTCCAGATTCCTTCCTTATTTGCAAAAACGCATCTCCAAGACTTTATAAATAGAGCTCTCTTGAGAAGGGACCTAGGCCTTGAACTAGAGGAAGCCCGAGAATTTGAGGAGGAGTTGAGGTCCAGTGTAACACACCGATGATCCAACAAATGTCACCCACTCCTGCAACACTGACCACCACTTGTTGGATGCCCCCTGCTCATCGCAATGAAGCCCTTTGCGGAATCACAACGTGCACTGCAGAACCTCAGTATATGTTGCAAAGTAAAGAAGGACTGTGTGGAGTAATGTCCAACCTTACAAGGTAACATAGCATCCTAAAAATCAACGCATCCTAAAGATGGTATATGTGATATAACAATGCAGCCCGAATAACTATTTACAACAATCCTACTCAGGATACAGTGACTTTTTTTAGTCTTCTAAAGCTCTCTCTTTATAACCAACCACTACGACCTATGCAATCAACTACAATCTACACGTTACATAGCTCATGCAGCTCCCAAATCTAACTTTTGTGGTCTACAGGTGGTTCCATAGCTCATGCAGCTCCCAAATCCAACTTTTGTAGTCTACGGGCATTACCATTGCACATGCAACTCCAAACTCTGCCATCTACGTCCTAAGATTGGTATCATAGCTCATGCAATTCCCAACTCTGGTTTTTTTAGCCTATGGATGTTACCACAGCTTACCACTATGGACTATGTGATCAATTACGACCTACATGAACCATGACTCATGTAATCCATACCGTTAGCCTCTTTGTCATGCGAACATTATCACAACTCATGATACTCCCAACTCTGGTCACATTGGCCTATGGTCATTACTATATCTACCACTACAGCCTACTTAGCCAACTATGTTTTATGTTGTCTGCAGCTCATGCAGCTCTCAGCCCCGACCTCTATGGTCTACGGACATTATCGGTGCTCATGCAACTCTCAGTTTTGATCAACCTCCATAGCCTACGAACATTACTACAGCTCACCACTATGGCCTACATGACCAACTACGACTTAGGTGGTCCACATTCCATGTAGCTCTAAACTTTGTCCTCTATGGCATACAGATGTTATTATATCTTATACGATCCCAAACTCTGACCTCCATGGCTTATAGACATACTATTGCTCACCACAAAAACCTACATGATTAATTATGGCCTACGTGATTCACATCTCAAGCATCTCCCTACTCCAGCCTCTGTGGCCTACAGATATTATCACTGCTCACATCGCTTCAAACAACCAACTTTGTAGCTTACAAACATTACTATAGCTCATCACTATGGCTTATGTGACCAACTAAGAGTTATGTGATCTATAGCTCATGTAGCTCACAAATCAGGGCTCTATGACCTATAGATGTTATCATTACTCAAATGACTCCTAATTCTAGCCTCTATGGCAAACCAAAGTTATTATAGCCCCCTGCTATAGCCTATGTGACCAATTGTGCCCCATGTAGCTCCCTACTCATGTAGCTCCAACATTGGCCTCGTTGGCATATGAACGTTAGTTCAGCTTCTTGTTATGATCTTTATGGCCAATCGACACTCTTGACTCAACCATCTACGACCAACATGGCCAATTACTACCATGTCTTTCAACTACAACCACCATCTATAAGATTCTCGGTAGACTACTGCCTTCATAAAAACCAACTTTGTCCCTTGCATCCTATTATTGTCAAGAACTATAGGTAGATTATGGTTATTATTGATAAATTAGTGTTGTACATGACCGCGACTTTATATATGCTTAAAAATATAAGTAATTAATACTGCTACTAAAAGATTTAATTCCTCAGCAACTGTACCAAAACTTAATAACAGTTATAGATTTGATAAAGATGTATGTATAAAATATTCAATAATTGTAAAGTCACACTTATCAATGCAAGTATATGTATCGCTCAAGTAATATAGGGCTCTAATGGAGTCCTAGATATCGATCCCATAGGGAGTAATAGTAGAAATACGAACTAAGATTTTAGAAAAGCAATTCTTTAATCACAACAATGGAATTCAATTTGTTTATCTGTCATTAATAGACAATTGAAATAAATATGCAATTTAATAACTATTAAATAACTAAATATACTAGTGAGGTTTTTAGTGTGATATTCAATATATAAGAAAGCATCATTCTCCTTGTCAAGAAATTATAGTGAATGGATAAAGTGAATTAGTTCAAATTATATTGTGCCAAATAGGAGCATACCTATTCTTTACCCTTTGGTCCAGGCATAAAGAACATTGACTAATCCTACGCTTGTTTACTGAATCTGCGGCTAGGCTGGGAGGATACCGGCTCTCACTTCGG